AGATTTGTTCATTTCATGATCATATCTTCAATTCTCTAAGTTTGGTGAATATTTTTGTCATTTTTGGTAAAAAGTGATATTTTCGACTTCTTGTTAAAAACCGCAAGTCCAATTGCTTTGATATTACATATATAGGTACTACATGTGAACCTCTCTCAGATTTGTTCATTTCGTGATGATATCTTCAATTCTCTAATTTTGGTAAATATTTTTGTAATTTTTGGTAAAAGTGATATTTTCGACTTCTTGTTAAAAACCACAAGTCCGATTGCTTTGATATTACATATATAGGTACTACATGTGGACCTCTCTCAGATTTGTTCATTTTGTGATTATGTCTTCAATTCTCTAATTTTGGTGAATATTTTTGTAATTTTTGGTAAAAAGTGATATTTTCGACTTCTTGTTGAAAACCGCAAGTCCAATTGCTTTGATATTACATATATAGGTACTACATGTGGACCTCTCTCAGATTTGTTCATTTTGTGATGGTATCTTCAATTCTCTAATTTTGGTGAATATTTTGGTAATTTTTGGTAGAAAGTGATATTTTCGACTTCTTGTTGAAAACTGTAAGTCCGATTGCTTTGATACTATACATATTGTTCATTTTCTAATGATGTCTTCAGTTCTTTAATTGAAATGTGCATTGCTAACAGCGGAGCTATCTCAGCCGATAGGCTGCTTGTTTTAAAACTACTCACTGAATTTATCCTATTGGATTATTATTCTTTCCACAGTGTCTAACACAGTGTATTCAGATGACCCAGTTAACAACTTTAAAGTAGAAAGAGATGGAAAAGTTTGCTTGCTAGCAACATTTGCTGCAAGATTTAACGTTACCTATAACATCACTGATACCACGGTAAGGGCTTTATTTGTTAGTACTTGCATTAGTGTTCAATCAGAAATGTGAAATTCTCAATCTTATGATTTAATTTTACATGAATTTGTTGGTTTTAATAATCCCCTGCAATGTTATGTCAACTCTTTGACAACTACTGGCTTAATTTCTTTGATATTTGGTATGCAAGCACCTTGGGTGGTCCTCTGTCACATTTGTTTGTGGCGATATCTAATATTTTTAGCAAATGTTTTTGGTAAAAAATGCTATTTTTGGGTGGACCCCTCAGATTTTTTCATTTCCAGGGTTCTCCCCAGAAAAAATGCATAGCGCCGGGGCTAATTTGCATAATAATTTGCATATCATTTACATATCTTTCCTTCATTGATTAACAGAACTTATTTACAATTATGAATATTAGTGAGCTCAGTCACAGGGCAAATATTTTTTTTAATGGAATCAACACATTATGTTTCACAATTTAGAAGAGTTTGAAACATTCTCGAAATACAAATGCTACAGACTAAAAACAAACACAAATACTTATTGTTGCAATTTAATTGTTTTGTAAAACGTTGAAGGAAATGCATTCAAAACGTTAAGCCAGATTTATGTTCACGAATCTCATAATTTTATTCACTCCAAAAACATTCTCCTTCAAAAAATCGATCACGTAATTGACGTATTGTTGTAATTTATTATTCGTACCATCAACTTCTAAAACGTTTACAATTACAGTAATGAGCGAACAAATAAAGCTTCAAAACGATCATCAAAGTTACGACGTGACATAAC